AATAATGTTGTTTATATTAATCTGTGGCAAAGAGAAAGATTTAGACTTTGTCGCTAGAAATATTCCAAACATACAATCAACTTTATGATTGTTATGATTTCATGTTGTTTTATTACTCACATTACCCCCCTCTTAGCCTCAGACCTCCGGGCTGACAAAGAATTAACAAGAAAAAAATTCAAGCGCATACTGATAAGAACAACACACCCTGAGTAAAGTAGTAATACTACTCAAAATACCAAACAAATCTCATTATTATACTGCCAATGATTTTGAGCAGTCTCAGCATTCTAAAGTATAGATAATCATAATACATGCATGTCCATTTACAAAATTATGGAACAAAAATAGCATTATTCAAAATCTCAACAAATACAAACTCATCCATTCGGTACTGTATAGCACAGAGTGTGTTATCCATCTAGACGGTGTACAAAAACAATACATAAGCTCAGCAAAATATATAATTTTCAGAATAATAAAATATCATCATTAGAGAGATTTCAGAATGCATTTATAGCGTACTTATAAATCACCCATGATTATAAGTTATAAACCATTGATTCATGAAATATACTTTTTATATGTATAAGATCATATTTTTGCATTCATAGCTATGTGCATAATCATAAGTTATGCTTCAAATTTATTAGGAAATCTCTCTAATATCAGTCCATGATTAACATCCTATTATCACGTTAGATAAAATATACAAATCTCATCATTCAACAAATGAATAATCAATCCATTTCATAAGAGTGACCATGACCTTCATTATGATCATAGTATTCCTATTTTGATATAGGAATACCAATATCATGAATATTTAGATAAGATCATGTATAATATTACATATCTTGTAACTACTCTATACTCTACATTTGATGATATTTTTAAATGAAAGATGTCGCGCTGAATCAGTCGGCATGACTTCACTTCATATTTATATGTTTATGAATTAATTTTGTCTTCATTCAAATACAAGACAATGTCTCATACTTTGATACTTGTTCAGTGGTCCTCATTTTGTTATCACCTTGTTAAGTCATCATCATCGTCATTATCATCATTCTAGTTATATAATATATATAATCAGTTCTCCACAGGATTGTTTTCCTTAACTCTGTGTAAAAAATCTTATTTCACAATTCTGACCAAAATTGGTCAAAATATGCCCATTTGGCATGATTTTTCCCATCTCCAGTGGGCGCAAATGGACCCCAGGTGGGTACTACAGCTGTATGTCCACATATTTTAATGCTGGGGAGATCACTGATAATAGACTATTACAAATATAATGTAATAATACAAATTGTTGGTACAAAATTATAATGCATTATAAAAGATACAATAAATAAATTCATACACTATAATGTATTTACAAGAGCCTTGCTCCTTCAATCTGAGATATCTTTACATTTCTATCATGTCAAAATATTCCAATAGGCACGTGTCCAAATAATCCAAATCAGATTTATGAATATAACTTGACATTGTTATATCAACACAGACAAAACATCTATGAAAAGGAATCTAGCGTATCTAGTGTTCAAAATAATAACAAATAACATAACAAACTCCGTGAAGACTAAAAACAATATTTTGAAAATATTGTTCCAATATCATAACTTGTCAATATTTTGAAAACAAGAATCCAAATACAATAAACAGTGTAGCAGAAAAATGTTACTGCTTATTATGTCACCACCAAAAGTGGTGACATATTGTTATGGTCTCCGTTTTTTTGCGACGGCGGTTGGTGGTTGGCGGTTGGTGGTTGGTGGTTGGCGGTTGGTGGTTGGAGGTTGGCGTCCGGCGTCCGGCGTCTGTAACAATTTCTTACAACTTCCTATAACTTAACAAATACTGTTTAGACTGACTTCAATTTTTTTCTAAATCATCTACATGTTCTTAGAAGTTCAAATCTGACTTTAGATTTGACATTTGACCTTCAATGACCTTCTCAAGGTCAAAAAGGTCTTTTTTCAACTTGCTTCACATTGACTAAATTTTTTTTCAAAATCATCAACATGTTCTCAGAAATTCAAATCTGACTTTAGATTTGACTTTAGATTTGACATTTGACCTTCAAATCTGACTTTAGATTTGACATTTGACCTTCAATGACCTTCTCATGGTCAAAAAAGGTCGAAAAGGTCTGTTTTCAACTTGCTTCAAATTGACTAAATTTTTTTTTCAAAATCATCTACGTGTTCTCAGAAATTCAAATCTGACTTAAGATTTGACATTTGACCTTCTCAAGGTCAAAAAAGGTCAAAAAGGTCTGTTTTCAACTTGCTTCAAATTGACTAAAAAAAATTTTCAAAATCATCTACGTGTTCTCAGAAATTCAAATCTGACTTTAGATTTAACTTAAGATTTGACATTTGACCTTAAATGACCTTCTCAAAGTCAAAAAAGGTCAAAAAGGTCTTTTTTCAACTTGCTTCAAATTGACTAAATTTTTTTTTCAAAATCATCTACATGTTCTCAGAAATTCAAATCTGACTTTAGATTTGACTTTAGATTTGACATTGGACCTTCAAATCTGACTTTAGATTTGACATTTGACCTTCAATGACCTTCTCAAGGTCAAAAAAGGTCAAAAAGGTCTGTTTTCAACTTGCTTCAAATTGACTAAATTTTTTTTTCAAAATCATCTACGTGTTCTCAGAAATTCAAATCTGACTTAAGATTTGACATTTGACCTTCTCAAGGTCAAAAAGGTCTGTTTTCAACTTGCTTCAAATTGACTAAAACATTTTTTCAAAATCATCTACGTGTTCTCAGAAATTCAAATCTGACTTTAGATTTGACTCAAGATTTGACATTTGACCTTCAATGACCTTCTCAAAGTCAAAAAAGGTCAAAAAGGTCTTTTTTCAACTTGCTTCAAATTGACTAATTTTTTTTTCAAAATCATCTACATGTTCTCAGAAATTCAAATCTGACTTTAGATTTGACATTGGACCTTCAATGACCTTCTCAAAGTCAAAAAAGGTCAAAAGGTCTTTTTTCAACTTGCTTCAAATTGACTAAAATTTTTTTCAAAATCATCTACATGTTCTCAGAAATTCAAATCTGACTTTAGATTTGACATTTGACCTTCAATGACCTTCTCAATGTCAAAAAGGGTCAAAAAGGTATTTTTTCATCTTGCTTCAAATTGACTAAATTTTTTTTTCAAAATCATCTACATGTTCTCAGAAATTCAAATATGACTTTAGATTTGACATTTGACCTTCAATGATCTTCTCAAGGTCAAAAAAGGTCAAAAAGGTCTTTTTCAACTTGCTTCAAATTGACTAATTTTTTTTTCAAAATCATCTACATGTTCTCAGAAATTCAAATCTGACTTTAGATTTGACATTTGACCTTTAATGAAGGTCAAAAAGACCTGTTTTCAACTTGCTTCAAATTGACCAAATTTTTTTTTTCAAAATCATCTACATCTTTTCAAAAGTTCAAATTTGACTTTACAAGTTCTCAGAAGTTCAAATCTGACTTTAGATTTGACCTTTGACCTTCAATGACCTTCTCAAGGTCAAAAGGTATTTTCCAACTTGCTTTAAATTGACCAAATTGTTTTAGGTGGTGACATTTTGTCATGTTAATGCCTTGTACTAACTCATAGATTTCTTTTCACTCATACCTCTCAACTACCTAAAAATGTTTCATGAGATGTAATGCTAAAAGTTTGTAAGTTGCAAAATTTGTACCACATGTAGCACAAAGGCGTCTATTTGCTACATGATGAGACATATGTACTGAATATAAATCAATGATTGCTGCCTCCCACTCACAGCTCACAATTTCCCCCAGAAACATTTCATCCATAAAATCAAAAGTATCTAAAAATCATTCCAATCCATTGGCAAACCAGCTTCAGTCAAAGCTTTTTGTAAAATATCCTCCTCCTGTTCATTCATTTCTAGAACTTCCATTGCATCTTCAAACATATTCTCAATTTCGAACAGATCATTGTCAATAGAAAGAGGAGTAATGTCTTGATAATTGTGTATGACTCCAGGAATAATGAATGGCCCCACATGATTTGTCCTGTCATCAGAATTTATCATATGTATTAAATTGTCGCCCATGATTTTCTGTTTCTATAAATGAATTTCAATGGTGATAATCCAAAGTATAAAAATGGCGAGCAAAGTCTTTTTCGTTTCGGAAGATAGTGATACAGAGAGTACAAAGTTTACTATCATCATCATCGTGAGTTGACATATGTAAGTGCTGTATGACAATGTCAGTAAACGATATATTGCAGAATATATATTTGAAAATTCATGAAAAATCTCAGAGAGTCCCGTTTCCTCTAAACAGATTTGGCAAGTCCATTCCATCTGAAATGTATAATTTTATTGTTATATTAATTGTTAATATTTATAATAATATCACTGAAAAATAGGTCAAAAATTGCGAAAAGTGAGTCTAAAGAGTGGTTTCCGCCATCTCAATCATTGGATTATCTGTTAACTGAACTTGTTTTGTCTTTGCACACTTGGCTATTACCTTTCCGAGCTTAAGAATGATGGAACGCTGTCTTTTATAAAGTACAAAAAGAGCAACCGATATAACTAACAATACAACAAGGATAATAAATTGCACCAAATCAATCCAAGTTAAGTTCAATGAATTTAAATGGTTTGAATAGAAAGGTTCTTGAATCCACAAATTACTCTTTTTTAGATTTTTAATTACATCCAACAAACGGTGTCTAAATTGATTGTCCCCTGTTTCAGGATCTGTAAAATTTAGTACATCTGGCAATATCATAGGTGCAAGATCATGTAAATCTTCAACTCTGAGATATGGTGCAATATTGTCATCCGAAAAATGAAAATGAAAAGGTACATTTGGTTGTACTTGTTTTTCAGCAACCAAGTCGGTGTGTAACAAAAGAACGTTCAAATGATTTTCATTGTCCAGCACAGCATGCGACAGATTATTTAGAAAAAATGGGTTCGTTGTTGATGTGTAGATAGTTTATGGATGACGTCATCGATTTTGTTGTCCATAATCTTTCCTATATGAAGTACTCCTTTTTGAAAATGTGATGAAGATTTTGCTAATTTTTGTTTTGTCGTTCTACATGTTGAACAATTCTTGCCAATTTATCAACGTCACTGGCCATAGCTGTTCCAAATAACCAGTTTGATGCACTTCCTATTGCATTAATTAGTCCTTTTCAGGGCCTTTTGTTGGAGATAGTGGGTAGTGTAGTTTTTATCCTTGATACTGATGTTATAATTTGTTGATTTAAATCTAATATATCGTGCTCAGCCAAAGAAATTAAGGCTAACATCTTGTGGTATATCGATTCTGATAAGGTGTGCGTGTCGACGCATGGTAGTAATCCAGTTTTATTTGCAATTTCTCGCGGCCAAGCCAAAACGACACTAGTATACATGTAGAAGAATGTCTCCTCGGAAAAGTACAAAGCTCCATCTCGGTGGAATAGTACACCATTGTTGGGTCTTACAAACAAGAACATCAATGGGGCCATATGTCTCGGCTCTGGGGAAATTCTTTCAGTTGTTGACCAAGTACTAAATTTAAAGTCAGTTTTGGGTTTGACAGGATTTGGAGATTTAGTTTTGGTCTTATTAGAAGTGTTCTGCAACGTTTCTTCTTTGTCTGAGCCATTGTTTCCACTGTTCCACTTTTTCAAAAATGGCATCGTCCCCGATAGAAATTCGATGGTAAGATGTTTTTGTACAGATGTTTGGTAATCCGTGATATGACATCAGCCTGCCTGTAAGTTCTTAGTTGACACCGTTAAATCACATGTCGCGCAATGTAGATGTCCTCTATGAGTGTTGAAGACATGTCTCTCCCACTCCTTGATTGAATTTAGTTGCTCCTTGCAATCAAAGCATTCCATTGTTAATCTGCTTTAAAACCAATGAATAACTTAAAAATCAGATGACTATAATCAGTAATCCATTAGCAAGTAATCACTTTGACAGTATACCACTTAAATGAATTTAAATATGTTTCGTAACCAAAAAGTCACTTTAAAAGTAAATAATTAAATAATAATCTGCTGCAGTAAGCAGTACTATATAGTACTCAAAATATTTTTCCTTACTGTACAGTGATCAGAGTGAAATGAATTTTGAAAGCATTTTGCTAAAATGTACCCATTCAACAAATGCCTTGTGAAGTTCTTCTGTTTCTTTCTTTAAGTTTTTCAAAATATCTTTTATTTCTCTAATTTTGGAAGATCTCACAGATGGGTCTGTGCGTATCATGTAAGGATACATTGTCGTTTTAATCCAGTTTTACTTTTGTTTACTATATTTCTACTATGGGGTCATCCTAACTTCGTTGATGGTACAGTTTCATTATGTTGTTAATTACTTCCACTTTGCTGTGTTTGTTCTTCCTTATGACGTAAACTAAGTCACCGAGCTTTTCTGTAACATAAGGTCCACTAATAATCTGTTGAAGTGAAAGTGGCACACCAAATTTAGATATAAATTCATCTATAAAAGCGCTTGTAACAGTTACTGCTTCTATGTTTTGCAAGGGAATAGCTTCCGCATATTTGCTGAAGTAATCCTGTATCATTAATATTTACTTATTTTTATAATGACGACTTCTCCTAATAGGGCCAAGAATATCCATTCCTACTCTCTCTAGTGGATATCCTACATGATATGATTTCATTTTAACTTTAGGGTGTTTCACTGGATGTTTTCCTTACTGTACAGTGAGTGAAATGAATTTTGAAAGCGTTTTGCTAAAATGTACCCATTCAACAAATGCCGTGTGAAGTTCTTCTGTTTCTTTCTTTAAGTTTTTCAAAATGTCTCTTATTTCTCTAATTTTATAAGATCTCGATCACGGATGGGGTTGTGAGTATCATGTAAGGATACATTGTCGTTTTAATCCAATTTTACTTTTGTTTACTATATTTCTACTATGGGGTCATCCTAACTTCTTTGATGGTACAGTTGCATTCTGTTGTTGTTAATAACTTCCAAAAGCTGTTCCAAAACTTCAGTTTGCAGACATGTTGATGCTACTAACTGCCAAAAAAATTTCTTTCCCTTTGAAGGTATACATTTATGATGAAATACTGCACTTATCAGGGGCGGATCTGGGAACCAACAAGGGGGGGGGCCCAAACTTCTGGTCTGAGAAAAAAACGTCCGCGCTTGCGCGTAAAAAGATTTTGGGCCCCAAAAACCCAAAAGTGGGCCCAAATTTTGAAATTTTGAGGCCCATTTTCTTCAAAATTTGGCCTAAAATTAAAAAACAAGGCCTTACAAGGCCAATTTATGATCAAAAAGGCCTACTTTTTGGGGCCTTAAGGCCTTTTTTGGCTCAAAATTTTTTTTGGGCACAATTTTTTTTTTCTGGGCCCACCCAAGGGGGGGGCCCGGGCCCCTGGGCCCCCCCCCCCCCCAGATCCGCCAGTGCTTATGAGGTGAATCCATTTCAATTGTGACCAATATGCTTTATGCATTGGAGATAATGGTGATTTATCTTCCCATTTTGGACGTACTCCCATGATTTTCCATTCTACAATTTTACTCAGTGAAGGATCGGTTTGTTGTTCACTTTCAAGTTCATTGTGTTAGTCTTTTATTATAAGACTATGTAACACAAAATCTTTATTTCCTTATTGATTCATTTTATTCAAGTCTTTTCCTTCTTTGATTTCTACAGTAATTTTTATATTCAATGTTTTTATATCTTTCTTGGTAGCGTGCTCTTCAAAACTAAAACTTAAATCTAAATAATTTGATGTAACATTTCTTCTTATAGTCTGTATAAATCCTGTTAATTAGTTAACCAAATTAACCGATGATTAAATCGTCGATCTCAGAGAGTAGAAAACTGGTGCCAAGTTTGGTGTGGCAAAATCATTCAGCTTTTCATCCTGAGACCGACGATTCATCATCGATATAATTGTTTACATTCTACTCTTAAATAGACAGTACATAATACAAATAGACAGGTGGACGACTTTTATGATTTGGCATAAGTGTGTCGTATTTTGGCATACACATGTCATATTCTGGCATAGTTGTTCATATCATGAGGAAAAATAGTTTGTTTACATGCGAGGTACATGTTCCTTGTCTTCAATAATAATGTTGTTTATATTAATCTGTGGCAAAGAGAAAGATTTAGACTTTGTCACTAGAAGTATTCCAAACATACAATCAACTTTATGATTGTTATGATTTCATGTTGTTTTATTACTCACATTACCCCCCTCTTAGCCTCAGACCTCTGGGCTGTCAAAGAATGAACAAGAAAAAAATTCAAGCGCATACTGATAAGAACAACACACCCTGAGTAAAGTAGTAATACTACTCAAAATACCAAACAAATCTCATTATTATACTGCCAATGATTATCTAACAACTTCAGCAGTCTCAGCATTCTAAGGTATACATAATCTACATACATGCATGTCCATTTACAAAAATATGGAACAAAAATAGCATTATTCAAAATCTGAACAAATACAAACTCATCCAATCGGTACTGTATAGCACAGAGTGTGTTGATCCATCCAGACGGTGTACAAAAGCAATACATAAGCTCAGCAAAATATATAGTTTTCAGAATAATAAAATATCATCATTAGAGTGATTTCAGAATGCATTTATAGCGTACTTATAAATCACCCATGATTATAAGTTATAAACCATTGATTCATGAAATATACTTTTTATACGTATCGTATGTATAAGATCATATTTTTGCATTCATAGCTACAGGTATGTGCATAATCATAAATTATGCTTCAAATTTATGAGGAAATCTCTCTAATATCAGTCCATTATTAACATTCTATTATCACGTTAGATAAAATATACAAATCTCATCATTCAACAACTGAATAATCAATCCATTTCATTAGAGTGACCATGACCTTCATTATGATCAAAGTATTCCTATTTTGATATAGGAATACCAATATCATGAATATTTAGATAAGATCATGTATGATATTACATCTAATTAATATTTACAGTAAATAATTCTATACGAAATTCCACCTTTGTAACTACTCTACTCTACATTTGATGATATTTTTAAATGAAAGATGTCGCGCTGAACTTATCAGTCGGCATGACTTCACATCATATTTATATGTTTATGAACTAAGTTTGTTTTCATTCAAATACAAGACAATGTCTCATACTTTGATACTTGTTCAGTGGTCCTCATTTTGTTATCACCTTGTTTAGTCATCATCATCGTCATTATCATCATTCTAGTTATATAATATATAAAATCAGTTCTCCACAGGATTTTTTCCTTAACTGTGTGTAAAAATTCTTATTTCACAATTCTGACCAAAATTGGTCAAAATATGCCCATTTGGCATGATTTTTCCCATCTCCAGTGGGCGCAAATGGACCCCAGGTGGGTACTACAGCTGTATGTCCACATATTTTAATGCTGGGGAGATCACTGATAATAGACTATTACAAATATAATGTAATAATACAAATTGTTGGTACAAAATTATAATGCATTATAAAAGATACAATAAATAAATTCATACACTATAATGTATTTACAAGAGCCTTGCTCCTTCAATCTGAGATATCTTTACACTTCTATCATGTCAAAATATTCCAATAGGCACGTGTCCAAATAATCCAAATCAGATTTATGAATATAACTTGACATTGTTATATCAACACAGACAAAACATCTATGAAAAGGAATCTAGCGTATCTAGTGTTCAAAATAATAACAAATAACATAACAAACTCAGTGAAGACTAAAAACAATATTTTGAAAATATTGTTCCAATATCATAACTTTTCAATATTTTGAAAACAAGAATCCAAATACAATAAACAGTGAAGCAAAAAAATGTTACTGCTTATACTAACTCATAGATTTCTTTTCACTCATACCTCTCAACTACCTAAAAATGTTTCATGAGATGTAATGCTAAAAGTTTGTAAGTTGCAAAATTTGTACCACATGTAGCACAAAGGCGTCTATTTTCTACATGATGAGACATATGTACTGAATATAAATCCTCATCAAAAAATAAGATGTGACAATAGACACATTCGTGCAAAGGTTTGGAATGGAAGAAATGACACTGTGGAGCCGTGGAGCAAGTAAATGTTTCATCAGCAACCACCAAGACCAAGCAGACTGACAAGGCCATGTGCTCGAAATTCTCAATAATTGCTGCCTCCCACTCACAAATTCCCCCAGAAACATTTCATCCATAAAATCAAAAGTATCTAAAAAATCATTCAACTCCATTGGCACACCAGCTTCAGTCAATATCCTCCTCCTGTTCATTCATTTCTACAACTTCCATTGCATCTACAAACATATTCTCAATTTCGAACAGATCATTGTCAATAGAAAGAGGAGAAATGTCTTGATAATTGTGTATGACTCCAGGAATAATGAATGGCCCCACATGATTTGTCCTGTCATGTATTAAATTGTCGCCCATGATTTCCTGTTTCTATAAATGAATTTCAATGGTGATAATCCAAAGTATAAAAATGGCGAGCAAAGTCTTTTTCGTTTCGGAAGATAGTGTTACAGAGAGTACAAAGATTACTATCATCATCATCGTGAGT